ATCAATACAACTCAGAGGGAGCATATGAACGTGTCTTTGAGGGGGATCGTTTATTTTTTCATTCTATAGCGTTCAATATCACACTGGTGCAAATAATATGTACATGGCTCAATGAATTACGATCTGATGCGAGAATCAATTGTTACATTCAATCCAATCTGTTTGCATCACATGGCTTCTCAAATCAGTGCAATCTGAATGTTAATGCAGGTGTCAAAGGAGGATTTGTAAATCCACTCCACAGCTTGGGACATCCTCTCAGAATAATAGTCTGAGGAGAGTGTAACACCTAAGGGTACAGCTTGTTCTCCTGAGTAGTAATAGAGATTACTGTGTGCATGTTGAGGGAGTGTGGGGGTTACATTCGAGGGGGGAAGTGTCTATGTATGTGTGTGTGCAAACATCCACCTTCATCTCTTGTATTGTGTGTTGTCATATGCAAGGATTTGTGGAGGTGTGGTACCTCATCACAGACGAACTCCACAGAGATTGACTGCTCGGGCAGCGCCTGCCCGAAATGACACGTTCACTTTTTTCTTTGAGGATATTCGGCCTATAGGAAGGGAAAATTGCGAAGATATATCGAGTTGATTGCCTCTGTGCTGCTATATTTCTGCTTAAAGTGTCTCCTCCGCCACACAGGATAAGAGATGGAGGAGAAATCACGATCTTGTGGTGGTATGAATGTTTTATAAATGGGAGGATGAAAAGATGATGAAAACCTGCTCAAACTCTGTGCTTATGTTATTATATATTTTTAAAAAAAGAAGCTTGTATCCAATCCTCACCTCTCATCCTCATTTGAGAGGCAGAAGGCTGACCAGCATGCAATTGTGTGCAAATGCATCTGACTGCAGAACAAGCTACAGCACTACAGACATTTACACAAGGAATTCTAGTGCTAATATCACTGTTTAAATATCAGAGTTAATTGTTTCCAATGGCAGTTCAATCATTTTTAATTCCAGGCAAGTGGTATCCACAAACTGCTGAGGTCACTGTGTCCCGCACAGAATGAAAATAATAAAAAAGAGATTCACTCAGTAAATCTCTGAGGATGGAAGAACGTGTGCAGGGTGAGGTCACGCGGTGTGAACGGATTGAGCGCTGACGAGTTCATGAGTCTTGCAGCAAGAAATATCAACTCCTCTGACTGATGTGTTGTTGATTTTGGAGGCACTTTGATCCTCCCACTGAAACTCTGACATTATACAGCAACTGCAGGACTTAGAGGGATCATATAATTAGAAATGTGTGAGGGCAAAATATGTTTGAAGACTATTCAAATCCTTTAGAGTATATTTACTCCTTCTCCCTCGTTGAAGAATTCAGGAACTGTGCAAATATTTTTTCATTTTAAAGTTTAACTGCTTCACACACAATGTCTCCTACTTCACTGAGAGGTCCATTCTCGGTGTTTGTGAGGTGGAGGTTGTAAGTTTCATATCACACTTCAGTGGGTTGCATATCAGAGAGAAGACGACCGCGCACTGAGCTTCAGTGATTTTATTGCTGCCACACTCAATACCAGTGTCAGATGCATATTTACAGATATACACACTCAGTGTTACAAAGGTAAATCTGAGTTCATCGTTTAGTTAGTTTCCCTATTGTTGATTTTTTTTTTTATATAACAATTTGTTTCTCTTTTCTTAGAGTTAGACTCTTAATGTTACAGTCTTTGTAATGGCTCAATGAATATAGGCCCATTTTATTTGAATCCTTATTACAAATTTTCCTCTTTAGAGATTAATTAGTCATCTGAAGCCATTTATGGTGTACTAAAAGTACAATAAGAAATTTGATTGTTGTGTGTCGTCAAGTTAAATTAACTTTTTATGAATAGTTTTTCATTTAGTTTTAGGAGTCTGGAAAGTCACACTTTTTCAGAGACGTCCCCTCCTTATCTCCTGCACCTCAACGTGTCTTAGCCCCGCCTCCCACTCCGTACTATAGGCATAACTGGACATGTTCGCACAAGATACATAATAATTGATAGATCATTTACAAAAAATGGATTAAGAGAACTCAGCTAATCAAGTTTTATTTTCAGTTTGGAATGTCATAATGAAATTAGGGACTCTGAACTCAAGACATCTTTGATATCAGGGGACTGCATGTGATCTTTGTAACAGAACATTAAGTAATCAGAAACAGGGTTTATTGCACATACACATTTTTACACATACAACAAATTTGCTGTGGTGTGTTTTGTGCAAGGACAATTATAAAAAAATATAACAGACAATATAAAAAATATTATAAGCTCTAGAAAAGGGGATAGCAGAATTTGTTGTAAAGACTAGAAAAGGGTTGTGCAATATGAAGGATGATATTTACAATTAGTTTACAGCATGACAGTCACAGGTGTAAACAAACCTCCACAGGTAAACAATTATTCTCCAACTATTGTGAAAACATATTTTTTTTGGATGAGCTTGCAAGTTTGGGGGTCAACACACTACCACGACCATCCCATCCTCCAGTTTTGAAATCCATATTTCGCAGCACATCTCTGACCCTCATGGTCTGCACCAGCTATAAAACACACCTAATTTGCCCACAGGCAGGGCCTGAGGTGGGCTGTAGCCCACAGCCAAGCAGACGGGAAAGAAATGCGAGCAGAGGACAGAAGAGGAGCAGCGAGGTAAACTGTGTTAGGTTCACAGCTTCCTGCCTGCCACAGTTTGTGGGCTCAGAGTGCAGATAATTAAGGTTGAGAGTGGACAGCTCCCTACAGCGCCAGTGTGCCTTGATCATGCAGTGCCGTGGACCAGGGCAATACATTTTCACAAACAGGGAACACAGCAGCAGGAGCCACTGGGGAGCTCTATATGGAGCTGAGCTGTATGGTGAAAATTGGGGAATAGAGCTCTTTATTTACTCTGTTCATGTTTGGGCAGTAGAGACTCCGTCAAATGACTTTGGTACTGACTAGTGGCTCATTTTACGCAGCTCTGGAGGTTTGTTTCAAGCTGTGAAGCAGTCCCCACTGCCACAAAGAAGTTTAGTTGAAGTGGCTTTATTCCTACCTGCTTTAAATATTGCGGAGAGAAAAGAAGAAATCCTGCTCTTTGTACCCACTCACTTTTTCACTGTTTACTCTGTCCGCACCCTTTGCCTGCACCGTGCTCCTGTCTGGAGTTTGATGTTTCATTTGTTTTTGTGTGCATTAGAATACTAGTGGGCATCCACAGTGAAGTGGTTGACTGACTGAGGGAGTGGGAGTTATGAGGCCAGATGGATATGAATGTGAGAGTCGTCACTGTTCTCTCCTAAAAACTCCAGGCCCCGCGCTGCTGCTGCTGAGCTCAGTCCTCCTTGCTTCCTCTGCAGCACTTCTCTCCTCATATCGTCAACCGAGGGAGCCCTCTCTATTTCCAGCATCTGCGCTATGAAGAGAAACACCAGCAAACTAGGCCACTGCATAATAAGCAGGAATATCAGCAAAGTGAAATGAATAAAAAAAGAAAAGAATCAGTTTGTGGGGAAGCTTATCCAACATGCAAATGTTGACTTAAGTAATTCAGCAGGCAAATATTGCCCTGATTATTATTATTGATTAACTTTACCTACAGCATCGGCTGAGGTGCATCGAAGTTCACATCTCATTTAAAGCCCTTAGCTGTATATGGTCACATGACTGACGATGCACCTTAACTCAACACAGAAAGACCCCGGGCGAACCAGGATTTGAATGGGCAACCTTTTTGCTGTGTGGCAACAGACCACTCATTCTTTACTTTGTAAACCAATGCATTAATGTAACTACACATCTAAAAACTTAGTTAAGCAAAACTATAAAACTCCTTTCAGCAAAGTATTAAAAGTGTTTGTTCTGCAGGAAAATGGACCTTATATATTATATTATTAGATTGTCACTGATGCAACAAGCAGCTGTTTGCCGCTGCTGCAGAGGAGCTTATCCGACATGCAACTGCTGACAAAAGTGAATCAGCGAGCAAATATTATCCTTATTCCCTTTTTTTTTTGCAGATGCAACCGTTTATTATTGCTTGCCTTTACCTATAGCTTCTGCAGAGGTGCATTAGAGTTCACATCTCATTTCAGCGGCGGAGCCCCTTTAGCTATGCTGTCATGTGACTGACGATGTACCTTGCTGACTTTTTGTTTCATGCGAGTGTCAGCTGCGGTCCTGGGATCCCTCCTGGTGCTGCACAATTTCTGTGATACTCAGCATTTTTGCACTCGATTCACTTTGTCAACAGCTTCATTATTGTCTACTAGGAAGTGACACATGCTTGAGCAGTGCTTCTCCTTTAGTGATCTTTACACTAGTTTTTGGTTGTATTTTGTATCTCGTCAATATTTGTGTAACATTCCAGTGCCTGATATAAAAAAAATCACTTTATTAAATAACAACATCCCAGCGATCTCTGACTTGTCCAGGGTGTACCCCAGTTCTAGCACTGTGTCTGGGCTCGGTGTCCTCAAAGGATAAGCAGTCAAGATATGGATGGATGTCCAGTACCATCATCCCTTAAACAACACATGGAAGAGCATGCAGAGCAAACCAAAACAATTAAATTGTGTAATGTGTCATATGAGATGACGTGTTCAGCAATGAATGAGATGTGTTCAGCAATGATCCCAAGTCCAAGTCTCTTCTAGTTCATTGTAAGGTAGTGGCTGCTTGTTCCATTGAGAGAAATCCAAGTATAAACCATGTCTTCTGACTAAAGCAGTCCCTCACTCTGCAACAAATGAGTATTGCTTTTGTCCTGGTTCAATCAATTGTTGTATCATTGTGGAATTATTTCCCACCACCTTACTGCCCAATAGACACACTTTGGGGCATAATGTGATATATTCATAAAACATTTTTTTGAAATCAATCATATCAACTTAAAATTGATCATATGTCCAATGTGCACAGATGCTAGCTATGTGTTTACTCTACCCCTAAGTTACCAGAAGAAAAATCAGTTTAAACACACACTTTACTGCATTGTTTCTCTCTCTCTTTATTCTCTATCAAGTGTGGAGCACGACTTTCGCCTGCAGGAAGGGCAGGTCGTACGCACGTGGAAGGTGGGCGACCCTCCGGAAGGCTCACCGCAGCCCTCCACTCCCCAGCCCTCCACACCCCACCAACAAGACTCCCCGCAGCCGGTGCGACCCCCGGCCACCACCAAGAAGAACAGGAAGAAATGCTTCTGGTTCCTCTGAGGGCTGGAGGACGAAGATATTTTGATACTGTAATGCACTGCGTACTTTACAAAAAAAAAACGACAAAAACAAATTACAAAGAATTAACTATGGTGGTGTAGAATGAACTGGAGAATTCAAATGGAAACATAAAACTGTGGGTGGAGAAAGCAAATGACAAAGGTTATGTTTTTAGCTGTTGGAGTTGATGGAAATGGTTCGACTGGAGCGCACATGTTGTTACTGCTCTTAAAATGCCTCTTCAGCACTCGCAGGTTTGATATGGTGCAGGGAAGTGAAAGTGCTGAAGTCAAATAAAAGCGAAAGTTCAGTCCACAATATAGAGGAAGCAATTAGGAGATATAAAGAGAATGTATAGAAGGGGGATGGGAGGAAGGGGCAAAGTGCAACAGGCAATACAGCCGAGACAACAGAGCATATTTATAAAAGATGATATTATTAGAGTTTATAGGCAAAGATGGAAAAAGACAAAGAGGAAAGATTTATCTTCATAATGGACTTCATCAATCGGTCAGAACACCAGCTTTTATATCCACTGACATTTAAAAAGAATTATTATGAACTGTATTTAAAACTTTTAATATACTGTAATTGATTACACGTGTCTACATGCACATGCATCAACATATACATAAAAGAATTGATGAACATTTACATTCAAAGCAAATATAAAATGAGAAAATGGGTGAACTGAGTTCTGTACATATCAGAGCTGTTCTGCTTGGATGCTATATTTCAGATATGGATTACTGCTCTATAAAAGTATTTTACCACAGCTGGCTTGTGTGTGTTTCTGGACACTGGACTCAACATGTTTCAAGACATTATCAATGTTTAAAGGACCCCATCCTCAGTTTCTTTACTTACGTATGCAAATACCTATAGAGCGCTTAAAAACATAAAGTAAATATACAGATTGATCAAGTATTTACTCTGCAGGGAAACTGTATTTACATGAACACCAATATATCAAATATTGACCTTTTTCAGAATTCAGATTTTATTTAGAATATGATGTTTAAAGTCGCTAATAGAAGTAATTCCCTTCATATTCCTTTTTTCATGTCACAGCATATTCTGATTATGACTCGTAAGATTATGTCCACTACACGCTATAACATCCCAAGTTATTCCGCCAGTATTAAAACAATTAGATTCGTACACACTTTTGGATGTTATTTTTCATATTTTTCAAAAGCTACAGCCTTTTATTTTTTGGACATCATCATTAGACCTTAGTCACTGCAGGAAACTGGATTAGACTGTCAATTTTTAACCAAACAAAAGATATATAAATATCACAGCCGAAATTGAGTCAGGGAAGTGTCTCAGTCCTCAGATGGCGGCTCAGACAGCCCACTTTCCTGGACACTCCAGGGCAAGTCTCAGGAACTCAAGCCTCAGCTGTTTGATGGCTGTGAGAAGCCCCAAATATTACTACTTAGTAATTCATGACACACATAAGCTGCTTCTGTGAGGCTCTGAGGTGGCATGAGATTGCGGCCTAATTTATTCCAAACTTCGGAAAGTGTTAGCTCTTGGTTTTGTTTGCCTGCTTGTTTGCATTTGTGCGGCTGCTGCCAGCTTCCACTTTACCACAAACAGAGCAGTTGGAACCTATTTTGTTTTGGTTGGGGAGCATTATTGGAAGCGATAGGATAGTTTCAGGCATCTTCATCAGGCAGTGTATGAGTCCACGGCCCCCTTATGTCCCGGACTGGTAACTGCCACTTTTTCAAGCTGTGAACACACAAGCATGCATATGTACACATGAGCAGACGCACACAAACACGTCAACCTGAGCTCTCAATCCTGCTGTGCTGCACTGAGGTGTAGAAGTTGAAAAGCCCTCGCTGCACGTACCACTGCTTCATAAGCAACACATCTACACACAAACTCCGTCACACACACTCACCATCTCGCAACCACACAATTCCACTTCACAAACACACACACAATCGCACAGCTAACATATTGTTCTCAGAACAACATAATGCATTATCTCCCCCGCAGTTGTTCCTCTCTCTCTCTCTCACAACCAGGCACATGCTCGCTCCTAGTAGCTCTGTGTGCGCCGCACAACGCTGAGAGGAGTGTAGAGTTGTCAGTCATTAATCTGCTACAGCACAGCCTGTAATCCTGATGACAGAGCGGAGCGGGCTTACAGAGAGCAGAGAGGATCTGAGCTCAGCCTGGAGTGGGGAACAAAGGAGCCAGAGAAGACTGGCTTTGAATCCATAAAGAGAAAGGGAGTGTGCACGACTGTGTGTGTGTGTGTGTGTGTGTGTGTGTGTGTGAGAGGATTCTGGGGTGAGGTAGGTAACTATTCTGTCAGCAATGCTGCAGTGCTATTCAAGAATGAATGCTGGCAAACACAAAAGGGGAGAAAAGCTTTAACAGGGAAAGCAACCCTTCCTGCCGGTGTGTCACAGCGACACGTCGGCTAAATGGGCTCGGGTCCAGACTGGTCATTAAAGCGGCTCTGGAGAAGCGCAGCGGCTCGCAGAGAAGGAGAGTGAACAAGCTTTATTTTGAGGCCTCTTCAAAGAAACATCAAGGGTCAAAGTTTGCTCACGCAATTCAGCGCAACATCAGTCGCGGCTCGGCTGAAAATGAAGGAGAAAAAAAAATAACCATGTCTCCAGGCATCAACAAGCATGTATAATGGGCATGTGAAAACAACTACAACTGGCCCCGCATGCTGAGAGAGGAAGCGGCAAAGCTAATACTGCATGAGTCATTGGGCTCAGGCTGCTATAGAGATATTATGTTTCACTTTAGCACATTACAACTAAAGAGGTCATTTCACAGTCAATCAGACCGAGAAGTCATAGGTGCAGGAGGCAGAACCTGCACGCCAGTCCAGCAGTGAAATAATATTATTTGAAGGCTAATGCAGTAAATGATGCAACATAAACTGTGTCTTTTCTCAATGACTCAATAATGATGCTGATAAACAAGCCGCAAAGTTGCAATGATACTTGAAAGAAATTGCTTTTCTTTGATCCGAGATAGGAGCCTCATTAGTGGCCGAATAAAAGGAAAAAAATGGATTGAATGTGGACCAGGGGATTCGAATTAAAAATACACCCACATGCGTGTGCAAGGAATCATGTGCGCACTCATACAGATAAACTTGCAAAATGCCTGTGAACATCTTCTGGATGGCTCTCTAGATTTCAGGGGCATCACACAGACTCAGTGTCAAATACAGACGGGAAACACATTTTTGGGAAATACCAGAAAAATACCAGAAAAAGCAGGATGACAATGTCCTCATCAAAAACAAGGTTGCTGCATGTAAAACCATGATAAATTAAAAACATATGTCAAGTAAGACAGATATTTGGGAATATTGAAGTCCCAGAATGACTCACTCTTCCCCATAACTGAAGATAAGGTGAAGCAGCCTTGTAGAGAATAGCCCCGAAGCACAATATTATCACTGAAAACTACAGGCAGAGACATTCCCACAGTCAAGGTGAGTGTACTGCCATATATTCTGACCAAGGTGTATGAAGATCTATGTTGGTCTTGTTTGAAGTTACTGTAGAACTACAACACAAATTGTGCATTCCATCAAAACATTTCTCTTTTAAGTGTGATGTTAACATTATTAAGATCTAGCTTGGACTGTACATCGTATTTGAACATATTTAAGATTTGGTCTAGATCATGTGATTCAAGTTTAGATACAGAAACCCTGATAAAAACGATGTGGCACAATCACCAGAGCTCAATCACCAGAGCTCAACCAATTTGAGCGACTTTAAGTGCAGGCCTCTTGTGTGTACTTGCTCTTATGTTGTGGCCGTGACAGTGATCTGAATCCGGAATAATCCATGTGGACAAAACTTAAAGTCCACACAGGAAGACACTGTTCTTTTGAGGGTTAAGGTTTGGTTTGAGGGTTCAGGTTAGTTGTTATGGTTAACATTACAATAAGGGGCTAAGAAAAGCATTATATCAATGAGTGTCCCCACAGGGATAGTGGAACAGGACTCTCTCTCTCTCTCTCTATGTGTGACTGTGTCTGTGTCGTGTCACTGGGAAATTGTAAATAATAAATTAAAAGGTACCCATTTCCAGAAGACCCGCCAAGTTTCTGAGTCGACCAGTTTAATAAAATATGAGCTAAATTCTCCCCTGCCACTGCTGTCACTGATGCAAAAAGGGGCAATGAAATGTAAATACATTGTGCCTGGGCTGAGAAACACTCAGAAACACTGTGGACCTGAGACTCCAGCTGTGGAGAGGATGAGCCCATGTGGAGGCAACAGGAAAGGTTGAAAAGTCTGCTGGATTTGTCAATATGCTGCATAGATTTTAATTAGCTCTGGACATTTTGCCTTCACAGGAAACTTAGGAGTATAGGCAGCAAAGAGTTTAAGAAAGAGTGGGATGTTTGCAACAAGGGCCCAGACCGAACTCATGCTGGAGGAGGTTCAGAAGCATCAGACGAACTTCCCGAATGTACATAATTGGAGCTTGGAGGAACATCAACATAAGGTCTGGGCGAGTGAGTGAAGTTTTTAATGTGTGCTCATTCCTCATATGTATTTTCTAGGATATGTGAGCCGCCTGCATTCATGCCCCAAATGTAGTCATACAGAAGTTAAACTAAAAGTGATAGTTCACCCGAAAATGAAACTTCACTCATTATCTACTCACCACTGCAGATGGAGGTAGTGTTTGAAGTGTGAGTCCACACTTTTGGAGTTTCAGGGGTAAACAGCGTTGCAGCCAAATCCAATACAATTGAAGTAAACCACTTCTTCCAACGTAAAAAAACAACAGAAACAAATATAAAATGACTCTACCATTTTTGGGTGAACTATTCCTTTAAGGCTGAAACATGCTTCTCTATTTCTCTCTGAAGGCCACAGGCAAATCATCATCATTTGACCTTTTTCATGTGGCTTTTACTTTTATACTTAAACTCCTGGAGCTTTTTTTTTTTCTTTTCATTTCTTTTTCAAACTCATCTCCCAACAGGAGGTGGATCAATCAGTTAGTGTTCTTGAACCTGGAATTAGGTATTGTTCAGAGCTACTTTAACCCTGAAAAAAACACAGCTCTGGGTAAAAAAAAAATCACATAGTTCTTTTATCTGAAGGTGGCCACTCCTTTAACACAGCAAAGGTGCTGATGTAGAGTGCACCAGCGGAAAAAAAGGGTTTATCCAGGGAAGAAATTGAATTGGTCTCAACTTTTGCTGCGACGCAATGCAGCACCATCCAGCAAGGTGCTGTGGTGGCCAATCAAATCCACATAATCCTGGTACTTTTGATTATTTCCACTTTACTAACTTTCCAGAGTTCTAAAATCCTGTGTCAGGGTTTTATAAACCTCTGTCCAGAGTCCAGAATAAGTCTTCACACTCATGGGTGTCCCAAACTGACCTTGTCTGGTATTTGAACAGATCCACACAATGCAGACCGTCACATTGTTTTAACCCCGATATGATTTCTGTCTAAATTATAGACTTTGTATGAAGATGTTACAACATGTCTCCTCTTCCTCCCACTCTCCAGAATGAAGCCAAAGTACTGCAGATATAAGCGCTGCCATCTTGCTCATTTGGAGCCAGAGTCTGTGCAGTAACAGGGATGAAACCATGTTATAGAGGTCCCAGCAGTCAAATAAATTAAAACCAAAATTTCCCAACAGCACAGACTGACCCTCACCATTTGTATTTACCGGTGAGTTTTTTCAACCTGCAGCACTAGGCTATAATCCATTAGCTGTTGTTGGCCAGGCTGACTCAGAAAACAATCCTGACCTGACCGATCCCAGAGAGAGGCTTGAAAAGTTTCTATGTAAACCACATTGCAATGGTTTCTGGAACTAAAAACTACAAAAGTATCTTCTCACATGTGTCAAAACCTTGAATGAAACACCAGACAAGTGCAAAATGTGGAACCTAAAGTCGACATATCAGTTTATCACTTCCCCCATACTCGAGTGTATACAAGATCTGACAGTTCACAACAAACAAAGCAGCTCAATCCAGACTATGGATGACAGTGTTCAGAGCATCAAAATATGAACTTTCTACCATCACATGTCATGCGGCAAAATGTATGAGGCTGAACACTGAGTTTATAGAAGAGTGAGACATTTTGAACTAAAAATAAATAGAAGTTCATGCCTGTGCTGCCTGCAGGGCAGTCAGTGTGCTCAGCAACACGTTTGACAATCATTTTCAAGGGATTGTGTCACTGTTTGAGAGGAGCTTTCTGAACATGAAAGTCAGTCTCTCTGAAGACACCTTAGATAACTTCAAAGTCCTGTGAATGCTTTGCCGAGAGGTGCTCTTCCTTTGTTTTGCGCAGCCAGTTTGTTGTCTCCTCCATTGAGGATTAGATGATAGACTGTGAGTACATATTGCATCATGGACTGTTCTTTTTAATTTACGATTAAAAGGTAACCGCGGACACTGAGCATGACTTAAAATGTCAGAATAGTCAGACAGCTCGGTATCCAAGAAGAAACTTGGAGAAATGGGATTTCTTATTTTCTTTATCAAACTTAAGTAAATAATTCAATTCTATTTCTATAGCATAACATACATTATCTCAAGGCACTTTACAAAGTGAAGTCGAGACTTTAATAATTGTAGAGCAGCCCAACAGTTCCCACAAACAGAAAACTTATT